CTGGCGGATTAAAGTGTTGGTTGCAACGTGAAACGTAGACGGTTTGAATCCAGTCATGGGCGGCATCACTTTCCAGGCAGTTAAAACTCTGGAAATTAAAACGGTGTCATCGCACTGTTAATTAAAAAAAAAAAATTGCTAATATGCAATTATATTACCATGGAGTCTGATGCTAACCATAATGTATAAATAAATTTTCTATCATTAAAATTGAATTATTAATCAGTTCCATTTGCTTCCTGAAAAAAATWAAAATTTGGTAAGCGCCCTTTTAATAAAATACATTGAAAATCAAAATAAGAACAGTAGTTTGAGTATTTTTTATCTGCAACAGTCAGACACTTGCCTCACTGAGTCGACATTCGAGGCCTGTGCATGAAATGAAAATCCRCTTGTACTTTTGTGCATGAATTGGCAACCAATTATCATTCTTATTTTGAATAGAGATATTATGTTTAATTCGTTAAGTATATATATGTAGTATGTACATATCTGTGTTAGGGATGTCACTTATTACCATTTTCCTATTTAGTATGAATAAATAAAATAATTTTTGGCATAAACCATTAACAGATAATTTAAAACTGATATATAATATTAGCTCTGATGATTATCTAACATTTTGGTGGTATTGATACAAAAATAAAACTACTCAAATTATTGTTGTATCAGCTAACCCCTWATTTTAATAACTCAAAATATTATAATTTATGTATATATAAATACATTTTTTTATTATAGGATCATAGAGGAGGACCGGGTAAACCACAATTTGATGGACCTCCTATTCCTGTTGAAGGTATGTCTGTTCGTGAACTGGAAGCGTTAACTGGTAACTAATCATTAGTATATATATATATATTAATGCTTGTATATTGTGACCAGATGCCCTGATTTAGCTGTCAGAAAATCTCTGATATTTACTAGCGATTGTTAGTTAAGATACTACAACTAACTAATTTTCTTAAAACGTCTTTCTCTTGTACTAATACCATATTTTTAATAGAAAAGCATGATAGTGAATAGAATATTGCTAATATTAGTAAGTAGTTAAATCTCTGGTGGGTTGTAATTTATCATAATACAGTTTATGTTGTTGCCTCTAGTGCACTGTTTGTTTTCTCTCTGGTTCATGCACACAACATAGGTATAACTTTTATGTAGAATTTTTTTTTTTTTTTTAGTGAAATCAGCTGTTTGATAGTTGAATTCAAAATGAAATAATAATAAAATATAAAATCAATAATCGAACCTCAAAAAGATTATCCTTTTGGTCAACGAAATTGTTAATTATAGTGTATTAGTGTGTTCAAATATCCTGCAGTGTGTTAAGTTACAGTTATAAAAAACAGATTAGTCGTCAATAATACATTGTGTACAAAACACTGTATGTTAATTATAATTATTACAGTTGACGTAGTAAAATCCACTGCTGCTATTCAGCCATGTAATAAAAACATTGATGGTATTAAATTATTCAGGGGCAATCAGAAATTAGGTTTTGGACTTAGTTCAAAGTTAGCTATTTTTGATGTATGACATTTATTATGGGCGTAATCATTGTTTTGTGACACAGTTGCCTGGGGTAAAGAGCAACTACTTGTCATTTAAATTATATTTAAAAAATGTTGAAGGTTTATTATTTAACAAAATAAATTAATTGTCTCCAGTTTTATAATTATGCAAAAAATATCTTCCATGGTAAAAGATAACTTTCATAAAATGATAAAAGTATTAACAATAATACAATTTTTRGCACCAGTCCTATGTAGAACCTACACGTACATTTTTGGTCCAGCGTGTGACCTACATAAAACTATAGACCTATWCTGCATTTTTAATAGTTATTATTATAAGTCATTTCTCGTTCATGCCTTATATAAATAATTTGTCAAATATAGTTTACTTGTTTGGGGTAAGGGATCATCTCCATCACTCCTCTTTAAATTGTCTAAGTCAGTGGTCGGCAACCAGCGGCTCGCGAGTATTGAATAGGTAGTCTAAAAAGTTTGCTGACTACTGGTCTAGGTAATAATGAAGATGCGCCATTTGCGCTTATTTTATATCGCTTAATTTGTATTTTCCATTAACATTCCATGGTTTGGTTATTGGCATTTCCTACCATAGGTCATACATTCAACCGGTGCCAAAGTTTTATAGTTATTAAAATACTTCCAGATCACTCATTTCTCCCCTCCTCTTAGTTTGCTGTTTGGTAATTATGTATACAATTTACACAGAAGTGTTCAAACTTAGTTACCTCACACTCCATTGTGTTTTCAAAATATTTTTACGGTTCCCAAATTATTATAAACAGATTTAAACGATACAGATACCATATGACTAATATGGATGATAATTATAGTGACTTAAATACTAGAAATAAATCTTCAAATGATAGCGTGATGTGTATCGTTATTATTTCCATAACTATCATAAATAACATTTATGTTTATGGTTATTCAAGATCTACATTAATGTTGGTTTCCTGTGTTCTGATGCACCTTCTTTCACAACTCACAGTTTAAATACATCTTYATTCATCTTATTTCATGGTCAATACACACAGAACAAATTTGTTTCATAAATATTTTTTCACCTACCCACCATTTAGTTCACCCAGCTCATTTTAGTTGGTCTAAAGATGTCGTCCGATGATGACAGTGGTGGTTAAATCGAAACCAATAGGTATTAAACTTTTGCATAATTTTTTTTACATTTTTACTATTACCTATTGATATTTGTACTTTTTCTGATCCTTTATAATATAAAAGATAGTTTAAAAAGGTTGTTATTACTATAATATAATCATAATCAATATCAATATAAACTATCATATTTTTACATACCTATTTACGTCGTTAACTGTGCGGGAGTTGATAAAGTGAAATGACGAAACAATTACATATGAAACTTGTTTACAAAATATTTTTGCGATAATGTTTGGGAAACAATGGTGTGTGTTGCTCCATTTAAATACACATGTTTTCAAGTAACGAAATAAATTTCTCATGTGTGTCACCGGCCTAAAAGTATATTCAATAATATTTTATCAGATTTTTAACTTTGTATAAGTAAAACAATTTTTAAAATTGCTGTCTAATAACAAATGGCTTATTTCTTACATACTAAATTGTATAAAAATATATCTATTATTATTATTATTTCTATAAAAAATCTCAAATTTACATTAAAAAATTAAGGGCAACTTATCAAGATATAATATAGTCTATAAATTCATGGGATTTTGTTGCTTTCTGATGAAAATTTTACAATTAATTAAATAGTTACAGAGATTAAACCGATTAAATGAACAATTTTTCTTCATTAATTTGTATGTGTATTGGTTTTTGTCATCGGTGTGTATTTTATTGTTCAACAATTATTATATAATATGAGTAATGAGTATAATATTCTATTGGTATATTAAGTATAATAAATTGGTGTACGCGCAATGCATGAGATTATTTTTATCGATAAACTTCTCGGAAAAATTCTTATTGTTCACCTTTGGACAAAAAGGATAGGTTTCAGGTAGCTGAAAACCCACGAGTCCTCATGAGCCCGTGCCGTGCTGCACAATACATATTGGCRATGAATAATTATAACTGTCAATTACTCCACTAAAACGCAACAAATTCTTTCTTATTGTTCGGTGAAAATATGAGAAGAACCTCTATTCCAAATTTTGAGTTCGTACGTTGCGTAGTTTTTGGGTTACAGAGATCAGAGAGTGGGTGGTGTTTGGATTTTATATATATAKACTTAGAAATAATAATTTTTTTAAATGATTAGTATATCTTCCTATATATTTGTAATTAAATATTAAAGATGATGAAAATGTTTAAAAAATATAAATTTTATCACTTTCCACATGAAACCACATGCTGCAGGTAATATTTTTATCCTGTAGTTCTTTTGGTGATTGACTTTTATCCCACAATTTCTGTAATATCTGTCAGGTATATACAAAAAAAAAAATCTGGTCACTTTATGCAAGTACTAATATTTATTTGTAAGGTTTCAATTTTTATTTTTCATGCTTTTAACATGTTATTACCTATTTTAAATTCTTGTATTCTTATAATGTAATTTTTACGCCATGATAAATTAATTTTTTTAATTTTAATGTTTTACAGCACAAGGAGGAATGGTAATGTACCTTTTTTTTATTACTATTTTAAGTTTAGGATATTCTTGTTTTTTAAATTTATTGCTACCATTTTTAGTAACGCAAAATGTTAAAAATGGTCTTAATGATTTTAAATTATCAGTTTACATTTATTAACAACAATAATTAGTTATAAGATAAAATAGTAGATAACAGTGAATCAATGATTTTAATACTAAATACTTATGTAACTAATATAAACCTCTTAATAATTATTATATACATAATAATTATTCCTCGCTTATTCCCTAACAGGGTGGGGATAGCCAAGTGGCAAAGCAGGTCAGTCTTTTAAAGCATGAATTAATATTTTAATAATTATCTATGATTTCTTAGTAGTATGATTGCTTTAGAATTATAAATACATATATCTTGATTATAACTCAAATTTTATAATAATTAAGAATGAATCGTCGTCGTGTTTGAAGTATGTGGTAGAATTTTCAGGAATCATATAGGTATGAACTGCTATTATTTATATAT